TTCTTTTTTTTATGTAGCATGTCCTTTCATGACGTAGGCGATCATGGCTCTCCACCTCCCTCTATTCCTTGCAGCTCTCACCAAGTTCCTTTCTTCTGCTTTCTCCCCCAGACCACGTCCTGTCATCCACTTGCTCAAGCTCGCCAGCTATGTCACGCACTGCTTTCCTTTGTCTTTCTTTTCCTCTATTTGACCCGTTAGTATCAGATTCTCAAGGCCCTCCTTCCTAATTATGTGTCCCAGAAACTTCAGCTGCCTCTTTCTGATGTTAAGTATACGCCTTCACCTTCTTTTCAACCTCTCTAAGACCTCATCGTTGCTCGCACGCTCGGTCTATGATATCCTTAGCATCCTTCTGTAGAACCACATATCCGTTGCTTCGAGTCTCTTCTTCATCTTTGAGGAAATAGTTCAACATTCGTTGCCGTAAAGAAGGACAGATGTCACGTAACAGCTCAGTATTCTTTTCTTTGTTACCAAAGAAATCCTCCCGTATGGCAATACTCCGCCCAGCTTTTGGAATGTGTCCTTAGCCATCCCAATACGTCTACGGATCTCAGTGTCAAAAGGCTTCCTAGATATTTAAACTTCCGCGTCTGCTTGAGTCTATTATTCCCGACCTGCAATATTACTTAAGTGTTATTTTTTATTTTCATTTTTTAGTGGATACTCGCATTTGAGTAGACACTCCTTTTCTTTATTAAACAGTGTATTTATTTGTTTTCACCTACCGGCCTGAATACTTATTGGAGAAAAATATGGGCTTGCTGGCAGGATATGAACCTGCATTGCCCTAGGGGAAACCGTCATTAGATCTGACGTGCTTTAGAAGTCTCGGCCACGAAATCCATTAATGGTCAACTAAAGGTGAATAGTGCCTTTGAACACAGATTTTTTTCTCTAACTCTCGAAATAGACATATCTCCTCGATTTCGTATCCTGACGCAAACAAAGCAATTTCTAAAGAAAGTGATGTTTTTATAATTTTATTTATTAATCAGATTGATTTTATTGGTTAAACGTCATTTTTAAAAAAGTTTAACTACTACTACTACTACTACTAATATATATATATATATATATATATATATATATATATATACAATATATGATTGATTGGTATACGATATATATATACACAAGTATATGATTAGTATATATTGTTGGTTATTGGAATAAATTCCAATAACCAACAATTACTATTCTGAAAAGAGTGCTCAATGCAGAGTAGAGCAGATATAATTATTTATTTAAAAATTATAACATAAATATGTTATAAAATCACTACAAAAATAGCCATTTTGTTTCAACATCTCCCGTGTCTTAACTTCATCACTTGATAAGACACCGGAGGTGTTGAAACAAAATGGCTATTTTTGCTGTGATTTTATAACATATTTATGTTATATATATATATATATATATATATATATATATATATATATATATATATATAGGTGAAAAATGTAGGTATACAGTAATGAAAAACAAAGCGTGCACACGCAGTATTGCAATAATCATGCAAACATATAAATCATAGCATACCAATAATAAACATATCAATACCGCAAATATTAAAACAGTTTGTTTCCGTCACTGATACACGAATCTTGACCTGCAAAACATTTATCATTATTTATTAATAAATAATTAATATTTATGATTACAATAAATGTATAATAATAACAATTATGAAAATAAAAATATTAAAAATGAATTCTAGTACTGAATGAATCCTCGAACCACTATTGTAATAATGGTATAACACGTACTGTATACCTGTATATATATATATATACATATATATATATATATATATATATATATATATATATATATATATATATTATGAAAAACTTGGTAATCCGTATGGGTAATCCTGAGGAGGATGAAATCCTGAGAGCTCAATGTAAATCCAGAGCTAATACATTAAATCATTATAACGGAACCTTAAAGTGGTCTGTTTTTTTTTATTAATATATATATATATATATATATATATTATATATATATATATTACGAGATTGTAAAATGAATATCGCGCTACACAAAAGCTTATATGTTTCAATTCTATGATTGTACTTCCTCAGGCGATAGTTGTACCAGTTACGAACAATTGTCTGAGGAAGTACAATCATATAAAAAGAACGTATAAACATAAAAATGTCATAAAATAATTGTCGGACTTTACCCATTTTATAATGTATGACGTCATTTGTTTATATTTGGATACGCATCGAGCAGATATGAATGTACGAGAGAAAATCGTGGAGAATTGTAGTTTGAAACATGAAAGCATTTATGTAAAATGTTTTTATTATAATCTCGTATAATAAAAATATTATAATAATATTTTGTTCTACTTTGTATTAAGCACTTTTTAAAAAAGTAAATGCTACGGACTGTGGATTTTACTCCATTTTTCTTTCTTTTATATATATATATATATATATATATATATATATATATATATATATATATTTGAACTTTATTTCGATCCTTCATATTGCTTCTGCTCCTTACCTATGATTAATTAATGATGAACATGTCATTTTCGTTTATGATTGATTTCATCACGATTTTTCTGTTAAGCTTGAGAGTAATTATGCATTCTTATTGCTGAAAGTAAAGTCCAATCGTGTTCTAAAACCTCAGAGAACTCCAGTAAGATATCTTTAATCCTTTCTAAGATACAACGATTCGGAGCACAATCTGGACAATTTTGCTGTTACACTCTGTATGCGTTACATATTGTTGGAGGTAACTAAGGGAGACATTGCTCGAGTTACGTAACATCTCACCAATGGAATACGGAGGGGATGAGGCTGGCGTGGCATGGCGGGTATTAACCGTGAGGGTTAGAACCGAAAACGATCACATATCTTATTTATCAATGAAATATTGAAGCTCGCACGTTGCCCTTGGCCCCCGTAGCTATTTTGTGCCTCGCCAAGATAGTTACCAGCGCAGCATGTGCATGCAACTTGCAGCTTGTAATAACCAATTTAGATTTGAATACAATTGACAACCAGGTACTAGAAAGACATTCAACAATGACCAGGGATACAGCTGCTTTATAACGTAAAGTGCTACGTCTAACGAACACCACCATAAAACCAATGACATATTTTCTTCTAAGTGCCGTGACCATTCAGGATGTTGGCGATCATGGCTCTCCACAATTTGCTGTATTCTGTTGCTCTTAAATTTTATCTTCCTGCTATCAAGCTCGCTAGGTAGGTTATGTGTTGTTTACCGCTGTCCTTCTTGCTTTCTGACCCGTGAGTATCAAATTTTCCAAGCCCTCTTTCCTCATTATATGTCCCAGAATCATTAACTCCCTCTTCCTGATGTTATGCAATTATTATAGAGAATGAATGTTTTGATGTATCTGTTTAATAAATATTACTCGTTATATATGGAATCATTAGAAGGGATAAAAGGTTTGATGTATTTATTTAAAAAACGCTACTCGTTATATATGTAATCATTAGAGAGAATGAAATGTTTGACCTATTTTTTAATAAATCCTAATTATATATATATATATAATTATTAAAGAGAATGTAAGTTCTGAGGCATTTGTTTAAAAATTGTTGATGCATTTGTTTAGTAAATAGTATTTATTTATTTAATTTTATTTATTTGTTTAGTAAATGGTATTTATTTATTTAATTTTATTTATTTGTTTAGTAAATGGTATTTATTCATTTAATTTTATTTATTTGTTTAATAAATGGTATTTATTTATTTAATTTTATTTATTTGTTTAATAAATAGTATTTATTTATTTAATTTTATTTGTTTAGTAAATAGTATTTATTTATTTAATTTTATTTATTTGTTTAGTAAATGGTACTTTTTTATTTAATTTTATTTATTTGTTTAATAAATAGTATTTATATATTCAATTTTATTTATTTATTTAGTAAATAGTATTTATTTATTTAATTTAATTTATTTGTTTAGTAAATAGTATTTATTTATTTAATTTAATTTATTTGTTTAATAAATAGTATTTATTTAATTTATTTATTTGTTTAGTAAATAGTATTTATTTATTTTATTTCATTTATTTGTTTAATAAATAGTATTTATTTAATTTTATTTATTTATTCAGTAAATAGTATTTATCAAATGCACAAATAAATGTTACTAGCACTACCATAGGTTACCTAATCGTCTCCTTTTAACATATCCGTTGCAAACATTTTCTATTTACTTCTATAACTAGCAGCTAATAGCATATTTTGAACTTAAAATGGCGCAGAGTCAAATCGATAATCGTTAATCTAAACGCATTCAAACTATAATAGCAAAGTTCAAAAGATAATTTGATGTGTCTAATTATATCTCATCTTAGCGATTCAATTTAGGATGCGTGTAGAAGCGAATGAAGTTTAAGAGAAATTGTCTCTTGGTGCCTAATAACCGAAATCTCTATGAAATTGTTATGTAAAGCTTTTAATAAATTTCTTCTTCTTAGTGGTTTTATGAAATCGGATTTCTTCCTGGAAATCTTGAATTGCATTCATAAAGCAAATAATATCTCAATAAATTCTTCATTGCAATAAATTTTCAATGCATTTCTATCACACAAGTCACGTAATTTTATAACAAAGATTTTAAAAATGGTAAACACCGGAAGTCGTTTACTCTAGAATTTGTATATGCTTTCCTGTGTGTTTCATTTGTTAGAGAATTTCCGATTTATTTTCATCGTAAATAATTTATTATTCAATTTTATTGTAGACTGTTTCCATATTTCTGCTTGAAAACAGGAAATACATTTTTGCAGTGAAGGGATTTTCTACCATAAAACATTTTCAATGTATTTCTGTAGCAAACATTTTATTTTAATCGTAAATAATTTCTTATTCATTTTTATAGTGAATTATATTTATATTTTTTTCGAAATAAAAAATTCATTAAAGAGGTGAAAAATTTTCAGAGATTTTCTGTCACGGGGCAATGTATTTCAGCAAAGTATTTTAAAGAAA